TCAGAAATACATTTACAGCTGAGAGGTCGCATTAAAGGTAGGGTAGGCAATTCACTTCAGAAACACTTTTTGTTATATTCCATGGAATGCTGTTAACATCCCGATAGCAATGAATACATTAAATGCTTTGACAATAAATATATAAAAAAATGTCATCTGTGGAAGCCGTGGCGCTGTAAAAAGCACGACCAATCATCTTAGCCGGCCCGGCTAAAATAACTGGATGGCCTACCTGCCTGTCAGCCTTCCATCTGTGCACAAACTTATCTCGTGCCCTCATTGGTCATGTGCGCGTTCGTGTGTGTTGGAGGAGGGGCTCTGTAAGGAAGTCTGAAGGAAGGGGCAGATTTTTTCCGGTTGTGTACTTTCAAATTCTAGCGCACTCGAGCTGGTTTCTCCATTCTTACCTACCCTACCTTTAAGGCACAGAGGGCTACAGCGCTTATTAAAAGAGTCTTTATTCTCCAATCAAAGCTCATTCTCTGTCTATACACCATGTGGCATTCATACAACGCAAAAAGAAATCTGTGAAACAGAAAGCATCAAGGCAAAACATCCTATTCAACCAGCCTTGTTTCATTACCACTGTGACCTACACTTTCACAAAGCAGATTCAAACATTAGAGCACAAATGGACGATGTACTGATTCAGCTGCATTCTAGCTGCAGACAGTGATATAAACGGTTACTGGTGAAAGGCTTCAACACAACCCTGAATGTCCATTGTTGCAGCAAAAGTCCAACAATCAACAAATCATGCAATTTTAATGACAGGAATATTATTTATATAAGATATTTAACTGTATGGAGCATTTTGTCCCCTAAAAAATAACGAGTTAACTGAAAAAGTGAAAAAGAGGAATGGTGAAATGCTTTTCCCCTGTGTCCCATTCCAGCTCATCACCCAAAAACAGACCGCTCTCACACACACACACCTCCAACCACACACACCATATGCTAGAGGGTCCTCTGAGGTGGACAGGAAGGATGTTTCTCCATAGAATAGGGCCAGTGTGAAGAGAGCGAATGAAAAATAACTATCTGCCTGGCACAGTGGCTGGCAGACAGTTCTGTTGCATTACTGTATATCATAGGTCAGCAACAGGCGGATCCAGACGCCGACCTATACGGACCCGGACCTATAATCAATACATTAATAGGGGATTTAAACGGGGCGATTCTATTTTAACCGCCGCCGACAGGGGGCGAAAGAGACGAGTGAGCGATACAGGGAGAGAAACACAGAAGAAGAGACGAGAGAGCGGCAGATCAGGAGCGGAGAGGAAAGTGAGTGAAGAGAAGAGTTAGCGGCAGACAGGGAGAGACAAATAATGACACATGGCGCTCTCCAAGAAGAGGAAAGTGGACAGTGAGAACAGAGCTTTTAACCCTGAGTGGACGGACTCATTCATGTTCATCCTGCCCACTGGGAGCACAGAACCAGTGTGTCTCATTTGTTCAGAGACCGTGGCGCTCATTAAAAGTGCCAAAATGCCACTATGAGACAAAACACAAAGTGTTTGACCAAACATTCCCTCTCAAGTCAGAACTGAGGTCACAAAAAATAAGCAGGATCAAAATTAAAACTAAATATCGTTCCAGGGCAGGCTAACCGAGGCTAACCAATGAGCACCTGCATGTGTGTATGAGAATGGCCCTGACACCATTTCAGCCCAGATTTAAACTCCTGGCAGGACAAGCTCAATTCTCGCACTGAATTAAAACAAAGTGAGTGAGGGACTGCAATATAAGAGGGAAAGAAAGAGAAACTTTAAAACTTTTCAATTGTTATGATGTGTAAAGACTGATATTGTTCTATAATCGGCTGAAACTGTTAAGTCATGATGTGAAACGGTTAACAAAGAAAAAGGGAAACTCAAGCTGCTGCTACACTTTTTTATTATTTTATTATTTTATTTATCTAAAATTAAGCACTTTTGAGATGCACACATTTTCAAAAGCTATTTTATTTATTTTCTCTATTTTATTTTTAAATGCAGCCCGAGAGGAACATTACACACATCCACAGTATTTGACTGTATATCTGTATAGTTCAATGTTAATTGACAATAAATATTGTTGTTTTTGAATTGTACTTTCTTTATTTGATTGGCAGTCAGTTGTTGATTACATGCAGACGTTGATAAAGCTACAGGCTACTTCAATATATATCACACTAATTCATAAAGCAACTTAGACATTTTGACGTTCCGGACCTTTGCATGGGGAGATTTTCTCTAACTGGACCTCGTTGAATTTTAGTTGAATACCCCTGCTGTATATGGAAATATACAACTTGATATCCCAGCATTTGGCTGTAAACTCAAATCTCCTGTAATTATAGATCCCATTTTTGTGCTCTGCATTGACATCTCTCTGAAGCAGTCTCTCAGGGCATCTTTAATTAAAATATGGGCTACAAATAGGTGTATTTTCAAATCAATCTGCGAAGATCCCTTCATCAGCATTTGGATGTTTGCTGGTAGTTTTAAATGAATAAAAAAAAAAGCTGTGAAATGTTTTTATTTTTTATTTTATTAAAATAGATTCTAATGGAGTCAACAACTTTCTTGCACACCAGGGAGTTTAACAGACAATTTATTCTAATACAAATATTTGGACATTAGATTTTGAAATAGATTGGATGCGTCAGTGTGACTTAATTAAAATAGAGATTTGACATTCCACATTCAATCTGTCATTAATCAATTTACTTGTACCTTCAGAATACTTTTTCTGCGCCCATTCTTTGTCCACTTCTAAAAACTGGTTTTAATGGATCATTTATATACCCAATTGACATCGTTAATTAACTTTTCTACTTCTGAAAAGCTTCCCTTTTAATGTAAAATGTACAACGATAAAAGAGAAGGAAGTACAAATGAATGCAGGCCTACTTAGCTCACATAATTGTCCAAGTAAGACAGAAGTTATGATGCTATGTTCTGCGTGTGTAAACAGCACATTTCACTTTTAATGTTACAAGACAAAAGGCGTGTATCGGGGTGTGGAGGGTGAACGTAACCTAATCTAATAAAGAGTGGAACAGGTCTTATTACAGCCCAATGCACACCGCTTCAACAACTTAGAGAAATCAAAGTTGACAGGCCTGCTGTGCCGATTACAGTTGCCAAGCTGTGATTAGACAATTGCTGTACTGGGGTTTTAGGGTTTATTGAAAACACGCCTAAAGTAGAATGAGTAAAAATCCAGTGGAATATAGTTCTTAATTTATTCTATTCCCATGTGAACACTCAAATATGATGGAACTAAGAGATCAAAAATGATTGTTCTTGGTGAGTGACGCATGAATTATTCATCTACATTTTTAGTTTTTTTGCATACAATCTTAAGGCCTACCACATTAACAGCACTCTTACAATTTACTTCACTCCTACACACTCTGTTCGGCAGTGGCCATTTTTGCTCGTTATTTTCATGGTGGCACTTTCTCTTACTCGCTGTCTCCCTCTCTATCTCTCCCCCTATCTTACTTGCTCACTCAGCCATGTGATGAGAGGATGAGTCGCGACGCACTGTAAATTCCATCTCTGTCAAGCCGGTCACTTCTGGCTGGGGCTCGAGGGGAAACATCTGCTGGTGGGAGCGAGGCCACACTTTGGCTAAAGAGGAGCTCACAGCAGGCGATAACAGAAAGAGGTGGATATCCATTAGGACTGAGAATAATATCTCTCATGCTGCACCCTAACAGAGACTAAATGAAGTGCTTGGCAGCAGTTGCGAATAGAGCTGTGAAGTGCACCAGTTTATTTTTTAAAACCCTGTCAAGAAGTTAAGTTTCCTTGTATAAAACAAAATGCTTATTGAACAAGAGTAGAGGTTACACTATCTTTCCACCCACACTTTGGACAGGTGTAATTTTCCATAAACGGCCAATTTGATTGAGTCAACAATGGGGCCCCGTCCACCCTCAGGATAAAAGAGGTCATGGGCAATAGCGAGCTCCAATTTCATTGGCGAGGGTTATTACAGCGCATTACTACGGGGGCCATATAGACCTTGTTAGTGGGCACTTAACCATCTGTACACAAATCTCCACTTGAACACATCGGAATATTTTTCACACAGCCATGCTCATCTCCACACTGACCTCTACAACAAAGTGTCCTTTCAAGCCCATTCAGGCATACAGGCAGCATTCATAAAACACGTCCCCTCTTTAAACCGTGACCCCATGAGAGAGGTGTGCTGTCACAAAATATTCAGCGCTACGGATAAAATCTGACTACGGAATATCAAACGCTCCCATCTGTCCACTTCTCCCTCTCTGCCCACAAACCCCCCCTTCTTTTGTTACTTGACACCGCCATGTTTTAATGTCAAGGAAAGGGCATGTCTTGCAAGGCAAATGATTTGGTCTGACTTGAGACACCAGAAAATGAACAGGTCACCCAGGAGGCCCACTGGCAGATGGGTGGTAAACCTTATCATTGAAATGTGAGCAGAATGCAACAGTGCCACTGTGTATGCATGCGACTGAAACAGGGCTGGAGCGCACTGGAGATGTGTGAATAATTTTAATGAACTACAGCATGCACCGTACTAATGTTTCCAGTAAGACAATGCTGTATGTGAAGTAGCAGTGCTAACACTATTAGAATAACAAGCATATTGTTCCACATTTAGCATGGACTCTGCCCATTACATGTATTATGGTGGTGGACTGAGACCTCATCTGCATTCAATTATATGAACAATCAAATCCGGGAAGAAGAACAATGTAGATGGATGATGAGCTCAACCTTGTTTGGTCATTTCCGCTGTGTCTCAATATAAAAGGTCCATAAACTGTACAATACCAAGTGTTGGACAGTCTAACAATGGGTCAAAATGGCTCTTAAGAAATTCCATTATGAGCTAATTTCCATTTTAAGACAGACTCATAACATAGACATCTGTGTGCTGTCACAATAGCAGTGACCTTCCAGAATTTGTACTGTACTGTGGATATACTGTATAAGCACCGGTGCACACCTTACCTGATTTTTCAGATCCAGCTTGGGGCATGGGCGTCCCCCGTTGAAAGCTTTCTCCCTGAGCCACTTGGACCTGATCTTCAGCCCGCTGCCACAGGAAGCACTGCAGGAGGACCAGGCTGACCAATCGCTGAGCTTACAGTCCAGGGGGCAAGGGATGTGGCAAACCTCCACCATGTAGCCTGAAATTGAACATGGGAAGGGGAAGCCTGATTCAGACTTGCTTAGCGGCTGCAGTGAGGATCACATTAATAATGTCAGACAGACATGCCACTGGCTTGCACCCCACCAGACCTTGGACTTGGTCTCTCTGACACCAGGAGATAATTATCTGACTAATGATTACGCATACAGTGTGCCAACACAGCATAGTGAGACTGCTTAAGGGTTTGCACACTGTATAAATAATGTGTTTTGTTTGTCTCCTGTAGGGCAGCAACTAACAATTGTTTTCATCATCAATTTATCTGCCTACTATGTCTCTGGTGGTTGATTAATGGTTTACTCCATATTTGAAGGTGATGTCTGTAAATGCCTTGTTTTTCATTGTAATACAAATATATGCAGTTCAATATGATAATAAATCAGAAATGTCAATATTTAAGGGACTGAAAACAGCATTTCCTGCCAATATTACATAGAAGATTACCTTAACAATGAATCTAGATCATTGACAATATTTTTTGTCAAATTATCCATCGATTATTAAAGTAAACAAGCAGCTGTAGTTTCTGGACAACTTAGAAAAAAAGAGGACAAAGGTGCTAAAACTAAACAAAACATAGACTATACATTTCAATTAAAACCTATCCACAACTTTGCATTTCAATGTCAAATGGTCATGTCTCATAATTGGGCTTTAACAATATCACAATTTCTGATTATTCTGACCATTTATTTAACATTTTAAAAATAGGGCTGTGACTCACCGCTGACTTGTTAGATCAAAATTAAATAACCAGAGCCACCTAACAAGAAATCATTATCCAGAACACAATGTGAGGCCCAATTATAGTTCAAAAATAGTAAAATACCAAGTAACTGCAGCATACTCCTGTGCTTCCTACCTGAGTCTGTGCAGAGTGAGGGGTTAACCAGGTGTCCCTGCTGGTTGATGCAGGCCACAGCCCTGTAGCGCAGCCCGTGGCCGCACTCCTTCACCTCTCTCTGGTTCATCCAGCCCTGCAGGGAGCCCGGGGCCGAGGGGTCAGGGAGGATGCATGCGGACCAGTTACCAAAAGGCTGCGACAAAAACTCATCACAGGGACACGTCTCGCTGTCCTCGAGCGGGTACAAGTCCTTATCCAGACAATGTTCCTTCTTTTTACTACGACCTAAAGGAGAAGATGGACAAAACAATACAGAGTTACTGAGCACTGGCTGGGTGATGAATGTATATGAATAGTGCTTGCTACTGAAAGAGTGTAAGCTCTACTGAATGCATTAATACATTTATAGTTTTATCTAAATATCAGTTTATAGAGAGCCAACTGCAATGGCAAAAGGGGATCTCTGATCAACATGTAAATACAAATGTTAAGCACAAACACTTGTTTTGTTTATTTATTTATGATCATATATAATGCATCCCGTATCATATAGCAGTTCAGAAAACTAGAGTACGATCAAACCATAAACTGAGTGTACATTGTTAAATTGTATTATTGCCATTGTCATTGACACTGGCCATAAAGGCACAAGAAGCCCTTCATTGTATTTCTTTATGTCATTGAATCATAGCCCACTGTAATATGAGCAAAGCTACATACAATATTAAAGAAGCTAAGTGGACGCAATATCGGGTGTTGCTTTATGATAAACAATATGAAAGACAAATTGTAGAAATGTCTCGCAAGTCTTTGAAAAAAGTTAATATTTCAAAAAGCAAATGTAACCTTACAAAGTACCACAGCAACACTCATTCATTGAATGGAGAAACATACTTGATTGTTTACATCATTGTCTTTAACACTGACTGAGGCACAAATGGCAATATAGATATGAATAAAAAGCAGTACAATACAACTATAAATGTAAACATACATGTAGATAATGTGAAGAAAACCATTTGGATTCAATTTTGCACAACACTTGGCAGTGGAAACACTATCAAAATGTCATAGACAAGGAATTGATTTACATTTCAGAAAGTAAGTTTCAAACACTAGCGACGTGTGGTTTTATCCCAATCTTAAATCCCATACTTTGTTGTGATGCATTTAAATCATTACATTTGCACTAAGAAAAATCCATTACATCATCAATGGGAATGTTACCTTTTTATTTCTAAGAACAGGCAGTTGAATATAAATGTGTTCACCACTGTTTCCATCTGGTTCTATCACAGGAGTTAATTAAAAGCTCTTTCTACGTTTCTGATTACATAACACAAATGGTTTCCAAGTTTTGACGATTGGATTAATGTACTCTTCCTTGGAGTTTGACTTGAATCATAACAAATGCCAATCAGTCAAACAAGCTGGACGCCCGGTGGCAGGAAGCCCTTTCCCCTGTAATGCATATTCAGAAGCACTTTAATTGACCTCAGGGAATGATTAGTGCTATTTGAAAGCATATTAAACTTTATTTTTTGTTGCGAAGCCAGGGAATGTTTCACACTTAATGTCTGTTAAACGCCACTTCATCTAAACTCTCTGGATGTTAGACCAGAGCAATTGTTTTCTCGCCATATCGAAACCGCACATTCACAGTAAGTAGAATGCAAATACAAACAACATTATCGTTCAACTTGAACACACTTTCTAACCTTTATTATGTCATTTGTATACAAATGTAGCATATTTAGGCATCGCACTTACAGTAAGGACATAGTGTGCGACTATAAAGACCTGAAAGACTAAAAAGTACTTCAGTTGAGAGAAAATACAGAAAGACAATTTATTTCTATTTGAAAAGCTCTTGCCTTTTTTTCTCCTAATGCACGTCTCTATATTTTTCATCCATGACCTCTCACCAGCACAGAGAGGTTGCTGTTTATTATTAATGATTAACGGAACAAAATTGATGTTAAATCTAAAAAGAAAATGTTTTTATATGAGTTTTGTTAGACTTTTGGAGAACCTAACCTATGGGAGCGTTGGTGGTGTTACAGTTGTGCTTAATATATTTTATAGGCTACCCCTTAGGTCACATGTGGCCTAAAACCCCTTTGGTGTTGTTTATATCACTCAGCAATTGCATAGTTTTCCTACAATGCTTATGGCAATTCCCTAAAAACCTGTTATTTCTGTTCCCAGCCTTACAACTCATGAAACATAAGATGTCTTTAGGATGTCATGAAATATTCTGAGGCTTGTTCTGATGGACCATTTGGTGCCATTTCAACAACCAACAATCAATTAATATTAGATATTATATATTTCCTTTAAAATGTAATATACACCTCATGACTCCAGCACACAATCTTTTGTCTTAGGGGGAGGATTATCTTTTCATTTCAAGCTAACATCTCCATTATGACTATTAGAGCTAACCTCTCAATAAATTCCACTTTAGGCTTCAAATAATTAGTCCTGTTCATTATGTTTGATGAGTAATAATAGATTGAGCGTGAGCAGGAAGGTAACATCGCAGCTGAAAGGCATGTGATGCTCTCGAAACACTGTCATTTTTAATATCCGGGGAAGAAACAGACGCAAACTGTCAAGCTGTCCAAATGCTGAAAAAGCGTTCTCATGATTGATTGTCTGCTTCACATCATTGAATAGAGTTATATAACAGAGCAATGGGGTTTTGTTTTTAACAGCTATCAATATTCCGCAGTCATTAACATTATAGTGTTGCTGCAGTACATTGTTTTTTAAAACATGTTTAGAGAGTCAATGCTGTCAACGGCTCTTGATGTAAATGTCAACACTAACCAAATTACGCATTTGATGAGAGCGCCGCACCACATGAAGGATCTGCAGCAGTTATGTAGTAAAGAGAGACAATACAAGCAAAGGAAACTGTCTGGATTGGATTAAAGGTTAAAGCTTTTGACATATCTTTATATATTATGATGCAAAATGCAATTAAAATAAGTTTCCCCAACTCATTGACTACATTTAAAATTGGATTTATAGACAGACACGGCCCATTTTTAAGGGTCTAAGAAACATGAATGCAAACATTTTTCTTCTTTTACTGTAAAATAAAAATGCAAATGTAATACCTTGACTTGAGCCAGGTGGAAAGAAGTAAAGAAAGACACGCACACGCAAGCACACACACATCCAAAGTCTGGTGAAAGAGTTGCATCGCAGTTTTTCTAATCCTGCTGTACTGGTGCCTCCCTATTTGTTTCATGGATCCTGGGTGTCCCGGCCTCCTGTGTGCCCAGTGAGCAGCCCATCTGTTTCTGGAGTGGGGCTGATTGCAAACATTCCACACAGATTGTGAACTCACTGCCATCGCACTGCAATTCACCAACAATCTGTTTCATCTACGCACACTGCTGGTGGTGGATTGTAGAGCGCCAGAGTAACATCACTTTACTTTGACAACTACATTACTGGCAATATCACCACATAGACCAACAGGCACAACAACAATCTGCATGTGAGACCCCAATATCCAACTTGTTTTAGCCTTATGCATTTTAATTAAACCCACATTTTCATAATGATCTTTGTGTAATATCTGTTAAGCTGATGTGCCATTAGCAGGCATGATACTGTATAATCTTCTTTTGCCCTGAAACACTGTCAGAAAAGTGCTGAAAAGTATCAGCAAATGTGGATCGAGTGAAAGAGCTTCAGCTTATTATAGAATAGCCATGGGTGAATGAGCTTGAAAGAGATGTCAATAAGTAGGCAAAAGATGATTGATGTCTCCTTCAAGGAAATGTTAACACAAACCTTTCTGCCTTCCTGTCTGTTATGGTCTAACTCAAATTTTTAAAACAAAAAAAATCTGTTGTTGCACAATCATGTTGCAATTTCCGTTGGCAATTCTTAGATGTATTAATGTCAGTCCATGTCTAGTGTGCATGCGTCAACCATTCATGCAGCCTGTTGCAGTTGCTTCTGCTAGGTTGTTACTCTTTTTCCACTTTTAGGTTTCTTAGTTTATAGTACTTTTTATTTTTCTACTTGCAATTTCTTAAGCTACACCCTCTCCTAACCTGCGTGGAGGTGGAGTTTTTGTTTCTTGTATCCCGGTTGAATTACTGCTGTTAGGCGTCGCCAGTGTTGCATACAACCACTTGGCTGCCTTGTATACACCAGGGACCGGCTGACATGACGGCAGGAACAACGGCTATCCCCTCTGGAAAAGGACACATTTTTGGGAGAAAAAGAGATGTAAGCCATGTCTCCCCCTCTCATCTTGGCCAGCGTAAGATCACTGGCTAAGAAAATGGACAAGCTAATGGCGTAAGCTAGGAGTGAAACCAAATATCTGTAGTGTAGGTCAATGACGACAACCTTTCAATCGACGGCTTCCGGTCTTTAGAGGGTCCCTAGGCTGTGGAGGACGATCCTGTGCCTAATGGCGTATTTCCACCATGGCGCGGAGCGCGGTTTAAGCGTGCCGTGTCGTGCCCGTTTTTGGTTGCGTTTCCACTATGCCTAGTTCCGGCCCGGGGCTACTTTTTCACCTTTTTTCTGGCCCGACAAAATCGTGGTTCTATCGGGGCCAACAAACAGGGCTGAGTCGGGCTGAGTTTGCTAAACTAGAGAGAGAATCGCTGGCAAGGGGGCTACAACTACAACAAGATGAACATATTTGACCGTGATTTAATTGTAATACACGTTTCAAAATGATGCCGAAGTAACAACATACTGATACCGGTTAGTAAAAACCATGAATTAATGCTTTGACAAGTCTGCAGACAGACGGCAGGCGAAAAACCTTTTAAAATGGGTGTTGTCTAAATGGAGATCGGCTAAGCTAACGCAATATATGCTCCGACCGTCCACACTCACAACAACGGCCTACAGACATAAATAAACCAGCGACTGTACTCGCCATGATACTTGTTTAACTTTTGTCTAGTTTCTGAACAGATATGAGGAGCTGTGAGCTTGAGTGCTAACAGCTAACGGCTGATGTTGTTTTTCTGGGGTGCTCATTGAATATGACGTCACAGCTCCGCCTACACTGCGTTACTATAGATTCTACCCCAGTTCCTAAACTGTAATGGAAGCGCAGCATTAAAGTGAGCCGGGCCTAACAAGGCCTAAAAAAAACGTACTAAGTCGAGCGAGGCCTGCGGTGGAAATGCACCATAAAACGCCATGTCCCAGTGGCTAGACTGACTTTCATTGCACTGTTTTACTTGAACCCCTTAACACTAGAACCGCCAGAGGTTTTTGTATACCTAAAACCGCCA